CAGGACAACTTTCAATGATCCTATAATGATATAGCAACGAAGCGATGGTGTAACATAATGTTAAAAATAGATAAAGTAAAATTAGAATCCTGACTTAAATTTTCCATGCCAGCTTTTAATTATTGTTTTTGTTTATTTGGGGGCCACAGCCAATGGTGCTTACTCCTGGCTATGCACTCAGGAATTACTCCTGACAGTGCTCGGGGAACCATATGGGATGCTGGAAAATCAAACCCAGGTTGGCCACGTGCAAGGCAAATGCCCTACTCGCTGTGCTATTGCTCCGACCTGAAATGATCATTTTTTATTATAGTCTAGTATCCCAACATACTGTATCTGTCCTGCCTTTTCTTTTTCTCTCCTATCCTTCCTTCCTTCCTTCCTTCCTTCCTCCCTCCCTCCCTCCCTTCCTTCCTTCCTTCTTTCCTCCCTTCCTTCCTTCCTTTATTTTTATGGTATCAGACTTTTAAGTGATGGCCCTTTGTTGTAATCTGGATAGAACTAGAAGGTGTCATCTTAAGGGAAATAAGAGGAACAATAACTGTCGATGATATCACTCAAATTATATATACCAAGCAAGGGATATCATAGCATCCCATGAAAACAAACCCTTATACTCTGACAGCAGAATGGAGGTTACCAAATAGAGTGCAGGGTAATTGAGGCAGGGAGGAATTCATCCTTTCTCATAGCTGAGTAGTATTCCATTGTGTACAAAGACCACAATTTAATAATGGTAGTTGGAAGGTGCAAATCATCATGAACAACATGATATATATATATACACATATATATATTTATGTATATGTGTATCACAGTTTCTTTATCCACTTTTCTGTTTTTATCCACACTTCAAGATCTTTTTGATTGCTTGTTTTGGGGTTACAGCCAGTGATGCTTAGGGATTACGTCTAGTTCCACACTCAGAAATTACTCCTGGCAGTTGACGGGGAACCAAATGGGGCATCGGGGATTGAACCCCAGCCAGTTGCATGCAAGGCAAGTGCCCTACCCGCTGTGCTATCCTTCCTGCCTTCACACTTCCACGACCTTGACATGAGTTCAATCCTTGCCTCCACCCCACAGGCTGAGTGTGATCCTGGCTTCGGCACACAACAGAGTGTGTGATCCCCAGTATACTTCAACAAGTGTGTATGTGGCCCGTGTGTGTGTGTGTGTGTGTGTGTGTGTGTGTGTGTGGCCCAGGGAAAGTGTGGGTGCACCACTACCAAGTTCAGGACCCCTGGGCACTACTAATCTTGTGGAAATTCCCACAAAAAAGAAAGGAACGATAGCACAGCAGGTAGGGCGTTATGCCTTGCACGTGACCAATCTGGGTTCGATTCCCAGCATCCCATAAGGTCCCCCAAGCACCACCAGGAGTAATTCCTGAGTCCATGAGCCAGGAGTAACCCCGTGCATTGCCGGGTGTGACCCAAAAAGAAAAAAAATTCAGGGGAAAAAAACAAACAGCATGCCTGTAGAGGTGGGTGTGTTTCTTTCGTCAGTGGTGAGCCCTGAACATGGGTGAGAGCTCAGTTTTATAGAGTTATTGGATGGGGCATGAGGCATCTGTAGGCAGCTGGTGGGGGGAGTCCAGAAGCAGAAATTCCCAAGAATGGTATTTTGCAAAGCAGAGTCTGGACCACCTCAAGGACACACTGGTCACGGGATTATCCCAAGGCCGTCCCTGGGCCTCTCACAATCTGCAGTCCGTTTCTGAGAGCCTTTCATTTTCTCCAGCTGCTGCTGATGGAGCCCGTTGGGGTGGGGGTGGGGGTGTTCCTTCCAGTCCTGGCCAGGTGGTGGGGCTCAGGGAACAAGGGTCTTTTCCCTCATCATTATAGCAATGAAGGGAAAGGGAATTAAAAAAATTCTTTCCCTAGGGATAAGTAAACAGTATCCAGAATACTAATTCAAAACGTAGGGCTTCATTTTATTTTTGTGGGGTTCTTGTTTTTAAGTTACTCAATTGATTTCTTTTGGGGGGTGGGGGTGGGGGGCACACAGGCCGTGCTCAGGGCTAACTCCTGACTCTGTGCTCAGGGCTCGATCCTTATGGTGCTCAGGGAACCATGTTCAGGGCCTGGGATCAAACCAGCATCAGCCACCTGCAAAAGAAAAGCCTTAAACCTTGTACTATCCAGGTCCTCAGAAACAAAAAAATTTGTTGTTTTTGGCCACACCAGGTTGTGCTTAAGATTTCCCTTTTTTTTTTTCTCAGATAGAGAAGGGAGCACCAAATAAAGGGTGTTGGGAGGATCCTCCCAGGATGGTAGAAGCCTGCTGAAAGTAGACTATAGACCGAACACGACTGCCACTCAATGCCTCTTTTGCAAACCACAGCACCCAAAAGGAGAGAGAGAACAGAGGGGAATGCCCTGCCACAGAGGCAGGGTGGGATGGGGGGATGGAGGGTGGGAGGGATACTGGGACCCGTGGTGGTGGAAAATGGGCAGTGGTGGAGGGATGGGTGTTTGATCATTGTATGACTAAAACCCAAGTACAAAAATTTGTAAGTCTACAACTGTACCTCATGGTGTTTCACTAAGTAAAGTAAAGTAAAGGCCCTCCCGTTGATCGTCGATTTGCTCGAGCGGGCCCAGTAACGTCTCCATTGGAGACTTTGTTGTTACTGTGTCTGGCATATCGAATACTCTCGGTAGCTTGCCGGGCTCTCCGAGAGGGGCGGAGGAATCGAACTCGGGTCGGCCATGTTGGCCGCTTGTAAGGCAAACGCCTTACCCGCTGTGCTGTGGCTCCAGGTGTTTCACTAATAAAAATTTAAAAAATTTTTTTCCTTTTTTTTTTTTGCCACACCCAGAGGTGCTCAGGTTTGTCTTCTGGTTCTGTGCTCAGGAATCACACTCCCGGTGGGTTTTGGGAACCATATAGGGTGCCAGGGATCGAACCCGGGTCAGTCATGTGCAAAGCAAATGCCCGAGCTGCTATATTATCGCTCCAGTCACCCACCCCCCTACCCAACCCCACAATTAAGAAGCCGAGGGTCAAAAACAAATCTTAGTAAATTAGAATTTTGATCACTGAAATTCAACATACAACAAAAGGCTGAAGATTATATGACCATGGGAATCGTCCACTAACAGAAAAAAAAAAAACAGGAGGTATGAAAAAATAAAGTGAAACTGTAGAGAAAAGATAGTAGTAATTGGATAGTAGTAATCCCCAGTGCAATTGTACTTCTGGAAACTGATCAAATGAACAGAGGTAATGCTTGTGTAGAAATCATAGACAGTAATAAACCCAAAGCTAAAAGTATCCAGATTAGAAAGGGTGCCCAGCACAAAGAAACTTAAGAAAGATACACAAGAGGCAATTCCTTCCCACTCCCAGCATACCACAGAAAAAAGATTAAAAGAGCCTCAGGGGTCCGAGGAGGCCAGTTCTGAAAAAACTCAGGTGAATTTGAGTTGCAACAGTGACTATCTCGCTGCAACTCTTAACATGGATATTAGGAGTCGCCACACTGGCGACCTTTGTTCCCTGAGAAAGCCTATGAAGCAAACGGGAAAAATACAAAGATTTTCCAAATTACTGCCTCACTTTTCCCAAATACAGGTGACGGACAAAATCTGCTTAATCCTGAAAAAAAGTCTATACTTGGGGGGGTGGGGGGCAGGGGCAGACCTTAAAGGCTGGAGCATGTGCTTGGCGTTCAGGACCCCAGGATGATCCCCCCCAACATCTAGTATAACTGGGTGGCCTACCGCACCGCTGGGTCCAAGCAGCACATGTTCAGTGTTAGGTATTGCTGGCAGTTGACCACTGGCCCCTGAGCACTGCTTATGAGAGCCTTAGATCATTAGAACCAATCATTATTACTGTGTTTCTATTTCATCTTTACATTGAGCTTTACACGTTAGACGATTTGAATCCGGCTGTCTAGCAGGAGAGGAAGGCAAAAAAAAAAAAAAATCCAAAACCAAGACACCAAAAGCAAAACACAGCTCTTCCCATGGCTCCCAAAATTCTTCAAAAGGAGAAAAAAAAAGTTAAACGTTACTATCTTAAAGAAAATGGGGAACCAGTATTTCCAGGAGAAGGAAACGGAAGAAGCTAAGCAAAAACTCAGTCCTTGCTAGGAGGGTGACTGGGATGTTACAATGCTCACCGGCCAAATGTCAGTGGACTTGAAGAGGTTTCTAAAAGCAGGGATGTGCGTGCCTTGTGCTAGAGAACACATGGTCCACATTATAAAGCCTCGGCTTCGATCCCCAAACACAAGACAACAAAAGCAAAAGTCCTGAGGCAAAGCTTTTGATTTTCCTGATGAAATTTCACTGCTCACACCGTAATCAACCCTTGTGCCTTAAATGAACCGTGTCTAAACGGAACCAGCCACCCTTGAATCCTGAGGGAGGGACCAAAAGCACCCCAAATAAGACGCCATGAGAGTATTGAAGCAAAGGCATTGTCATAATTTTGTTGCTGTTGCTGGTTTGTTTTTTTTTTTTTTTTGGTTAAAACCCTGGGTGCTCAGGGATTTTTCTGGGTTTCGAGTTAAAACCCTGTGTGCTAATTCTTGGGTGCTCAGGGATCACTCTTGGCAGGCTCAAGACCCCACATGTAGTGCGGCGGATAGAATCAGGGTTGGCCATGTGAAGACAAGCGCCCGACCCACTGTTCTATGCTTCCAGCCCAATTTCCAGAGTTTCTTAGAGACACTGGGTCTCACGGAGTGATGCTTAAGGGTTACTAATGGCTGGGAGTTTGGGGGTAGTTTCCAGGGGTGCCTGAGAGACCAAACAACACCGGGGATCAAACATGGGTCTCCTACATGCAAAACGCATGCACTAGGATTTTTCTATCTCCTCTTGACCTTCCCCGTTTATTTTTGCTTTTGTTTCTGTGCCAAACCTGACTGCTCAGGGCTTAACCTGACTGCACTCAAGGATCACTCCCAGCAGGGCTCCGGGGACCATATGAGGTGCCAGAGATCAAAATCAGGGTGGCTGCGAGCAAGGCAGGTGGACCTTCCTAGATTTCTTGTTATACAAGTTTGTGATTTCATGTCTTAGGTTGTCTGAAAAGGACAACCTTTTTAACTTTCTAGTAAATTATCAGAGTAAAAGTGTATTTTATTTTTATTTATTTATTTATTTGCTTTTTTGGGGTCAGACCCGGCGATGCACAGGGGTTCCTCCTGGCTCTGCACTCAGGAATTACTCCTGGCGGTGCTCAGGGGAGCATATGGGATGCTGGGAATCGAACCCGGGTTGGCCACGTGCAAGGCCAACGCCCTACCCGCTGTGCTATCTCTCCAGCCCCTAAAAGTGTATTTTAGAATGGTTATTCCCATCATAACATGGAAGAGGAATTAAGAGGAGGCAAGAATGAAGGAGAACTTGTTTGGAAGTTAACAGTAAGGTAAAGGCCCTCCCGTTGATCGTCGATTTGCTCGAGCGGGCCCAGTAACGTCTCCATTGGAGACTTTGTTGTTACTGTGTCTGGCATATCGAATACTCTCGGTAGCTTGCCGGGCTCTCCGAGAGGGGCGGAGGAATCGAACTCGGGTCGGCCATGTTGGCCGCTTGTAAGGCGAACAGTACTCTAAGCAAAAAATAACAGAGCACAAGGTTGAAGAGACAGTACAGGGGCTAAGACAAATATTTGCTTTGCACAAGGTTGGCGCTGGCTTCATCCTGGAATTACACATGAACCCCAAGTCCTACGAGCCGAAAAAAGAGGGGAAAAAACGTATCTGAACTAAGATTACTGCAGTAGAAGAGTCCTCCTGTTGTTCGTCGATTTGCTCAAGCGGGCCCAGTAACGTCTCCATTTTGAGACTTGTTGTTACTGTGTTTGGCATATCGAGTACGTCACAGGGAGCTTGCCAGGCTTTGCTGTGAGGGCGAGATACTCTCGGTAGCTTGCCGGGCTCTCCGAGAGGGGCGGAGGAATCAAACCCGGCTCGGCCAGGCTGGCCGCATGCAAGGCAAACGCCCTACCACTGTGCTATCGCTCCAGCCCAATGTGATAATACTGGAATATTATATTATTGGGATGCTTTGGGGTTGCATGGTGAAAGCCGCTTCTAGGACAGATTCTCATGTAGCAGAATGACTCACCCTGGAACGGAATCCCCTGGGTGTGTTTCTTCTCTCCTTGTCCAACAAACATAATAAACATACATAATATAAATCATTTTGTTTGGACACAGTAAGAAATACCTTAAGCTTGTAGAATTGCTCTCCTAGGGCCATCTCGATCTCAGACCACAGTGCTCAGGCCACGTAGTCTTTCCTCTCCCTAGCAGGGTCCTAGTCTCATTGTTGCTTTTGGATCACGACGGCATTTGTCTATGATCAAGCTCTTAACTTATAGTTAAGAATCGTGGCACTTTGGCCTGGCCCATTTCAATGCCAGGGTAGCTCACTGCTTGCCCTGGGTCCATTCAGTCCATCGTCGGGACCCTGCTTTTGGGGTGTTAGGAACTAAGGGAAACTGAGGCTTAAGTCGAGAAAGCGATGCCCGGGAGTGAATAATATTCAAAGCCAATTAAATCCTAAGTTACAAAGCATAACGTTAACGGTCTTCCTGTATCTATACAAAAAGGGCATTGCATTAAAGTAAACTATTCAAAAGATACAAGGAGAGGAGAAAGGCAATATTAAGTTATAAGTTCAGTGTCCTACAAAGATCTGGCCTTACAAATTAACAGAGTTTGATTAGGGAGAAAAGCTGATTAACTGGTTGGGGAAGAGAGCAGAGAGAAGTGGTTACAGATAAACAAAGGAATGGGAGTGACTCGGGAGCACTGTGATGGGTGTGACTCAATGAACCCAAGCTCCTTGTGGCAAGGGAGAAAGGACAAATCGATTGTTATCCTACAGCAGATGAAGTTTTTTTTCACAACAATGTAGGGTTATTTCATAAGGCCATGCCGAAGGTTCTAATAAGCAAAGTAATTAAATACACCTTCACTATGATTTTTATCCAATAAAAAACATACTTTTATGTGTTGTATTTTCTAGTCAGGGCAACTAAACTAATTTTCATTGAAATGAATATTGCAATACTTATCTGATTTAAGCAAACCTACGATTTAAGAGTCATGTGTTCAATTCCAATTTTTAAATTTTCCAAAGATCTTATGATCTTTAATCATTCTGATCAATTTCTGTGCTTTCTGAATGTTTGGTGATCTTGACTGTATAATGCAGTTGAAATTAGTGAAAATTCAAGAATGTCGATCATTAATGTCCAGATCTTATAAGAAGTTAATGTCTGCTAATCTGAGCTATAGCACAGCAGGTAGGGCATTTGCCTTGCACACAGCTAACACGGCCGACTCGAGTCCGATTCTTCTGCCCGTCTCGGAGAGCCCGGCAACCTACTGAGAGTATCTTGCCCACATGGCAAAGCCTGGCAAGCTCCCCGTGACGTATTCGATACGCCAAACACAGTTACAAGTCTCACAATGGAGGCGTTACTGGGCCTGCTCGAGCAAATCGATGAACAACGGGGTGACAGTGACAGTGTATCTCCTTGCCAAGTCACAACAGCACCGAGAAAAATGCTTCTATAGTGCAAGATGCCATCCAGTGGTAGCAGCTTATAAACTACAAGGTGCCAATCTGGTCCCACTACCCCACTAATTTTAGCAATTTTGCTTTTTTGTGGGGGAAAGATACACCCAGTGGAGCTCAGGGTTGACTCTCAACTCAATACTCAGGAATCGCTCCTGGTGGTGGTCAGGAGACACATGGGATGGTCAGCCATGTGCAAGTGCCCTACCGGCTGTACTACCACTCTGTGTCCCAATTTTAATGATTTCAATTTCAAGATCCTCAGCTATCGTTTCTGAAAGTTTGTTTTGATTCTTATCACACTGATGACAAATGCAATGAGTCTTATCGAAGATACTTTTAAAACGATTAAGTCATTTTATTTCAGATACTGAATCAAGTGACAAGTGCAATCAGTAGCTTAAATAATTCCAAAGAATAACTTCAGGAAAAGTTTCTAACAACTATAAAGCTATTCCAGACTTTCTTCCCCAAAACCGATATAAAATGCAATAAAATTTTATTTCAAATATCCCTTCGTGAAGTCACAATCATTTAAAGTACTCAGTATTTAAATTTATTCTATTGTAGTTGGCACCAAATCATTTTAAATATCAAAACAAATACACTAACAGGAGCAGAACGAACTATAAATTGAACATACAGGACTAGGGTGTTTTTCTTCGACACCGTTGATATTTCATCAGTATGACACAGACTTTGGCATCCTCTTGCATGATGTTCTTAAAGAACTTCATTTTCGTTTCTTTTTTATTGTGTCCTGTGAGTCTTGTTGCACTGTATCGTGTATTTAATTGATCTCTCCGTTTTTGTTTTGAAATCCTATTGCCTGTGCCCCAAACATAAGACAAAGACCTATTATTACATCGACCAAGGTGTAAACAGTATTGAAGACTTCTATGGTAGCCTCAATATTTTTTCTATCTTCTTTATGCGCTAAGGTAGAAACTGAGTCAAGAAAACTGTTACTTTTAACAAATCTGCATTTTACCACGGGCTTAACAAAAATCCTATTCCCTCATTTTACATGAACATCCTTTTCCACTTTAGCTCCCAAATGCCAAACTGCTGAACAATCCTTACATCTTAATTTACTTTCTTTAAAGCCATCTGTACTGCTCAACAGAAATTCTTGCTTCATAGTCCAACGATTCAGAAGCACAAGGTTATCTTCGGCACGAGAAGCACAAAGATAATCTCTGATGAGTATAGTCTTTCCTTTATTAGTCATTGAACACATTCAAAATTTGATTCCTTTGACTTAAAACAATCCACATTAATTTTCACTTCTATTAATATGTGTTTTCGGTGTGTTTTCATCTTCTTATTTAAAAAAACACAAAATATCCCTCTGTTGCTTTGACATTTTAGGGAACAGAATCTGAAAAATAATTTTACAGATGTAAAACCAACAATTATAAAGTTTATGTAAAAGGTTTTGTTACTTGTTTATATAACTTTACAAATGAATTTTAGCCTAAAAGCTTTGATTGCCAGTTTTCACCTAAGCCTTCAATATTTTCTATTGTTCTTTTTTTTTTTTTTTTGCTGGCTGAGTGGTAGTAGGGGCCACGAGGGTCACACTAATTCTAATGGGCAATAAGGCCTAACCCGATCCATCCTGGGGACAGAAATCAGGCAGCTCATGCATTATTTTATACATTATTTTATTTATTTATTTTTTGCTTTTTGGGTCACGCCCAGCAATGCTCAGGGGTTACTCCTGGCTCTGCACCCAGGAATTACTCCTTGGCGTGCTCGGGGGACCATATGGGATGCTGGGAATCAAACCCAGGTTGGCTGTGTGCAAGGAAAATGCCCTACCCGCTGTGCTATCGCTCCGGCCCCTATTTTATCCATTATTTATTCCATTTGTGTTATCACCATGTCTGTATCACTTTCTTTTTTTTTTTATTTTTCAGTTTCTGGGCCACATTCAGCTGTGTCGGGGCTCTCTCCGAGCTCTGTGATCACTCCTGGTACAGCTCAAGAGATGAAATGAAACGCTGGAGATCAAACTATGGGTAGGTGCGTGCAAGGCACCCCTAAACCTTGTACCATCTCTCTGGCTTCTCTAACAGATACTTTCTTTTTACCGTTATTTTTTGGTGCTCAGGGCTTACTCCTGGCTCTGGCTGTACTCAGAGACCACTTCTGGTGGGGCTTAGGGAACCATGTGGGGGGCTGGGAGTCAAACCCGGGTCTGCTCTGCATGAGGCAAGTGTGTTGACTCTTGTACTTTCACTCCAGCCCTCTCCAACACTTCCAATTTGGACAAGCCACAAATTAAAAATTAAGCCCTGATCTATAGTTTACTGAATTTTCTGGGGTAGATAACCGCAGGATACAACAGGATACCTCTGGGATAAACAACACCCCATGTTACAAAAATTAAACATTATACAGTGTTTCTACCATATAGCTTCAGTAAATATCCCCAAATACAAAACTATCAGGAGTGACTAAATTTGAGTTTTTTTTGTTTTTTGCTTTTTTGGGTCACACCCGGCCATGCTCAGGGGTTACTGTTGGCTGATGCACTCAGGAATTACTCCTGGCGGTGCTTGGGGGGACCATATGGGATGCTGGGAATCGAACCCGGGTCGGCCACATTGGCTGCATGCAAGGCAAACGCCCTACCCACTATGCTATCACTCCAGCCCCTAAATTTGAGTATTTTAACTTTAAGTGTGTAATTTAGTCACTTCTGATAGTTTAAGTGTAATATTAATTTATTTGCTTGTAAGCTTATATACATTTATACTTTTTTCTTTTTTTTTTGGTTTGCGGGCCACACCCTGGCCACTCCTGACAGGGTCCTTGGGGTCCTCCTACCAAGTTTCAGGAGACCATGTAGCACCAGGGATAAAACCTGGGATTCCTTCAAGCAAAGCTTGCACTCTAGCCCTTAAAGCCACCTCCCTGGCCTCTACACACTTTAAAATATACTTCACTTATTTTAAGGGTTTCCAGAGTGCTTAGGATGCCTGAGGGGCTCCCATGGTGATTCTCAGCTAACCAGGCTGGCAGTTTGATGGGTGCCGCTCAAGGCCTGCAGTGCCAGGACTTTTCTAAGTCTTATAGCTGGGACTATCCAGGGCCACACCTGGAGATGCTAGGGACCTCCAGTGCTATATCCAGTGATGCTCAGGGAACGAACCTCCTGTGCTGGGAATAGAACTGGAGTTCTATTTTATGCAAGGCATACACCTTAACTCTTGGACTATATCTCCAGCACCCCACATGCGTTAATTCTAATTATGCCCGGTTTAATAGTTGATGTGGGCTGGAGCGATAGCACAGCAGTAGGGCGTTTGCCTTGCACGCAGCCAACATGGGCGACCCGAGTTCGATTCCTCCGCCCCTCTCGGAGAGCCCAGCAAGCTACCGAGAGTATCTCACCCGCACGGCAGAGCCTGGCAAGCTACCCGTGATGTATTCGATACGCCAAACGCAGTAACAACAAAGTCTCCAATGGAGACGTTACTGGGCCCGCTTGAGCAAATCGATGAACAATGGGAGGACAGTGTCATAGTGTCAGTGTCATTAAGTTGACAAAATTCCTGCAAAGGTATCAGTTCACGTTATCAGTAACAGCCACTCAGCAAATTACTGCCCTTAATGACAGAACTTAAGAAACAAAATATATACTTACGTGATTATTTTTATAGGTGCTCAGGTTCTTCATCATCACCACAAACCAAAATCAATGTATGCAAGATCAGATCTTAATGGTCCTTCCTAAAAAGGAAGTGAACCCATCTGTAAGTTATGATCATTCAAAATAAACAGCATTTCTAATCTGTGGGAAGTTTTGTTCTTTTTGGAATAAAATTGATTTCTCTGAAGAGGAGACTTGCAGATGGCAGAAACATCCAGAACAAAAGTCGTAGAGGAAACATTCAGAATGGATGAAAATGTAATGGTGACAAAAATAATTAGAGCCTAAATCAATACAGTGGATTCCTTTAGAAATAGGAAACTATGTTACATAGAGTGTTAAAAAGGACACAGAAACCATTATATTGGCTGTGTGTGTGTATGCGTGTGTGTACGTGTGTGTGCATGCATGCTCGTGTGCACGCGAGGATTAAACCCAGGGCCTCACCCATGAAAGGAAAGAAGAATTTGTCTATGAATGGACTGTACAGTAGAATCACTATTTTTTAACATGGTACCACTTAAAGGCAACAGAAATATTCTTACAAGGTTCTTTCAGATACTGCACGTCCAATCATGGCATATAAACCATTTCTCTCTATGAACGTCAAATCTTCAGCCCTACATTTGAAAACAAGGTTAACTAGAAAGACTGGGAGTTTGCTGCCCCTCCTAGGGGAGAGAGGCAGGAGTCCATCGTCCATCAAGCTAGAGGCAGAGAACTCTGACCTTAGAGAAACAAAAGTCTTCACTTTTTTTTTTTTGGGGGGGGGAGGACTGTTAATAATCAAACCCAGGTCTCATACATGCAGGACAGCAGGACACACACTTCACTACTGAGTCACATCCCAGGCAAAAAAAAAAGTATTTATATTTAGAATTATAATTCAAAGGTCTAAATCTCATGCTTATCACCAATGGGGAGGCAGCAGTTAAAAAAAAAAGTAAAACCCCTGTTGATATTCCCAAATGCTATAAAATATTTATGTGCCAAGAAAATAGTCCACTACATGCCAGCTCTCCTTAGTCTTTTTCCACCAAAGTGTCAACAGAACCGTTGTTCTTCTAATAGCCTTGGTAGCAGGCAGGTGCTTTCTGGCCCATCTGAGGTTTTTGTAGGTATCCTCTTTTGACTTGCCGTTTTCTAGATAAGAATCTTCTGGCCTACAACGGTTACCTTTTTTGTTTTGGTCTGGGGCCACAATCAATGATACGGCTTATTCCTGGCTCTGTGCTCAGGGGATCATTTGTGGTGCCAGGGATGGAACTAGAGTCCGCTACGTGCGAGGCAAGTGCCTTAACCCCTATACTCTCTGGCTATTTTTTTTTTAAACTGAGATCTTTGTAGCAGCTATGCCTTTAGCGACAGCTGCTTATTTTTACTTATTTTATTTATTTTTTGCTTTTTGGGTCACACCCAGCAATGCACAGGGGTTACTCCTGGCTCATGCACTCAGGAATTACTCCTGACAGTGATCAGGGGACCGTACAGGATGCTGGGAATCGAACCTGGGTCGACCGCGTGCAAGGCAAACATCCTACCCTCTGTGCTATCGCTCCAGCCTGACAGCTGCTTATTTTTAAAAGGAGAAACTTTCAGGAGAACTGTCTTTTAAAACTACCCTACTTTTAAGCTTCATTATTTTGTTTCCTTTTTTTTTGGGGGGGGGGATGATTACTATGATCAAAATCTGTCATCTTGGTTGTCCTTTCTCTGGCTTTAATCTTGTCCTATCTTGGGGGTTTCTACTTTGGACTGATCCCTGCCAGGTTTGTCAGACACACTTGTGCAGGGAACTGTGTGGGAAGTTGAAGGTGAAGCCAGTGAGCTGCAAATACAAAGGAATAGCTTGTCCATATCCGAGTGCCAATTCATCAACCCAAGCCTTTGGTGTAAATCACAAGCACGAGGCCCAAAGGAGACACAGGTGACCAGCCAACTTCTGCAATGAGGTTACTATCATCTCTCTAGCATTCCCAGAAAAAAACCCATGCATTATTAATGAGGAAGGACGTCCAAGAACTGATCCTGCAAAGAATTTCTATACTGCCCTGTTCGAACAGCAAACAATGCAATCGCGACAGTGCTTAGGACTTGAATTCTGATTTATGAGATGACACATGAGGTTGCCTGAAAACTGCCAAGTGAAAAAAAGAAAAAAAAACACATACAAACATTAAACAGGCACCCATTTAGAGAAAAACAGAACACCCTTAATAGCAAACTTAATCAGAGAAATCAGTTCACAGAGTAGTTAGGGGAAGTGATTTTAAGTGGATACTTGAGAAAATTTCAGAGCCTTTCTGTCGCTTGGGACTTTCAGGTTGAAATGGAAATCTTTTTGCAGCATAATCCTCACAACCCCTTTCATTGTGAAATTCCTTTACATTTGCAGCTCACAGGCTTCACCTTCAACTTGCCACACAGTTCCCTGCACCAGTGTGTCTGACAAGCCTGGCTGGTATCAGTCCAAAGTAGGAACCCCTAAGACAGGACAAGATTAAAGCCAGAGAAAGGACAAGCAAGACGACAGTCTGTACAAAGCGTGTCCGCGGTGCCCGCTCATTTGTGCCCAAATGAGCACACCTAGACCCCACACCAAAACTCCAACTCAGAAGATCTGAAGTGAGGCCCAGAAATCTGTGTACCCCACTTAGTCATGCTTGAACCAACTGCCCCCAAGGGGATCAGCTGAAAAATAATGGAGCACCTGGACGCAGGGATCCTCAACGTGAACTTCAACTGGTCATCACGCAACCACGCGATGCTCTCAGAGGTTGCAAGGCGAGATTGTACGCCAAGTGCCCACCCAGCAGCTGCAGTATCTCCCCGACTCTGATTTTACAAGTCTTGAGGATCAAGGAGATTTTGGGGGGCGGAAAGGGGGAAGAGAGGGAGAGACAGGGAGGGAGGGGAGGGAAGGAGGGAGACAGAGACAGAGACAGAGACACAGAGAGAGCAGGGGAGGTGCTTGCATTGCCTGCAACCAACCCGGGCGAGTTTCCCACCACCCCATACAGTCCCTTGGGACCACCAGGAGCGACTCCTGCACGTGGAACCAGGAGGAAGCCCCTAACAACGACAGGGGCTTCCTCCAAACCAAAAAATTAAGAAGAAAAAAAAAATCAGTCCCAAGAAAATCAGTCCCAAGTCACCAGCAGTGCGTGGGAGACCCGGATGCACGGACAGATACATTGAACGTCCGCGGTTATTATGTTGCAAGGCGCTGACCTCAGGGGGCGGGGGGGGGGGCGGGGGAGAGGCGCCCACACCGGGCCCCCCCGCATCCCTGCTGGGTCCTGCTTCCCCGGTGGGCACTCGTCCTGCTCCCCTCCATTCATCCCCCCCAGGAGGACTCCAGTCCCCTCGCCAGACAGCCCCGAGGACCAGCCGTGCGTGGGAGACGCGTGGAGAGGCTCGGGGAGGATGCGCGCGGGGTGGCCGCTTTCTCTGCTTCCTTCCCCCCCGGGGTCGGGCCCCTCGTCCCGGGGCTGGGGAGACCCGACCCCCGACCCCCCGCGGGACCCCCGCAGGACCCCCCAGGCGGGACCCCCGGCCGGCCGCGCGCGCTACTCACACTCACGAACTGAATGTCATCCTCGGCGTCCTCCGCGCTCGGCGTCGCCGCGGGGGCGGATCCCATCACCTGCGGGACAGGCCACGCGGCTCGGGGGGCGCTCGGGGGGCCGAGCCGCGACCCCCAAACCCGCCCCCGCCGCCCCCCGCGCCCGCACCCCGCCCCCGGCCCCAGGCCCGGGCCCGTGCGACTCCCGCGCCCCGCACCCGGCCCGCCCCCGCCGCACTCCGCCCGGACCCCCGCCCAGACTCCCGCCGGGACCCCAGTCCACCACCCACCACCCGGAGGCCCGCCGGGACCCCCGCACTCCACCCGGACCCCAGCCGGGACCCCCGCCCCCAGCCCAGATCCCCGCCGGGACCCCCAGACTCTGCCCGGACCCCTGCCCGACCCCCGCTCCCCGCCCGGACGCCCACCCGGATCCCCGCCGGGACCCCCACACTCGGCCCGGACGCCCGCCGGGACCCCAGCACTCCACCCGGACCCCAGCCGGGACCCCCGCCCCCAGCCCAGATCCCCGCCGGGACCCCCAGACTCTGCCCGGACCCCTGCTCGGACCCCGCTCCCCGCCCGGATCCCCGCCCGGATCCCCGCCGGGACCCCCGCACTCTGGCCGGACCCCTGCCCGACCCCCGCTCCCCTCCCGGACCCCCGCCGGGACCCCCGCACTCTGCCCGGACCCCGGCCCGGACCCCCGCTCACCTCCGACCCATCGCCCCGCCGCCTCCGCCGCCGCCGCCGCCGCCGCCGCCACCGCCACTGCCAGCGCCGCCCCTGCCACGCCCGCCCCTCGGACCCGGCACCGGGCCGCGCCGGGACCCTGCCCCGGCCCGGCCCGGGCGCCGCCCCCGCCCGCCGGACCACCCGCGCCGCCGCCACGGCCCCCGGCGGAGCGGACCCCGCAGTCCGCGGACCCGAGCGCGGCTTCCCCGGGCCCGAGCGGCGGGGCGGGGCGGGGCGGGGCGGGGCGGGGCGGGGCGGGGCGGGGCGGGGCGGGGCCGGGCGGGGCCAGGCCGGGCCGCGAGGCCTGCTGGGAGTCGTAGTCCAGGCGGGCCGGGCGGACGAGGGCGCGAGGCCTGCTGGGAGTTGTAGTCCAGGCGGGCGGGGCCGATGCTGAGCGAGGCGCACGCGCGGTCTGGCGCATCTTGGTCTCGTTTTGAAGGTGCCTGCGTGTGGGTGTGCGTGTTTGGCGCAGATCTCCATGCGCACATTTTGTAGATAGCAAAGCACAGAGCCAGCAAATAGACAATTTTTAAAAAATTTGGGTTCTTTTTGTTTGTTTGTTTTTTTACTTTTTGGGTCACACCCTGCAATGCTCAGGGGTTACTCCTGGCTCTGCACTCAAGAATTACCCCTGGCGGTGCTTGGGGGACCCTATGGGATGCTGGGAATCGAACCTGGGTTGGCAGCGTGCAAGGCAAACGCCCTCCCTGCTGTGCTATCACTCCAGCCCCTAAATAGACAATTTTATTTCGGGTAGGGCGTTCGCCTTACACGCGGCCAACATGGCCGACCCGAGTTCGATTCCTCCGCCCCTCTCGGAGAGCCCGGCAAGCTACCAAGAGTATTCGATATGCCAGACACAGTAACAACAAAGTCTCCAATGGAGACGTTACTGGGCCCGCTCGAGCAAATCGACGATCAACGGGGGGCCTTTACTATTTATTTATATATTTGTCCAAAGTAGGAATGAGACAAACTTGCAGGCTATCGAATGTAGCCTGCCCACAGGGCAGAGTCTGGCAAACTCCCCATGGCGTACCAAATATGCCAGATACCAGTAACAATGATGGGTCTCATTCTCCTAAAGAGCCTTGAATATAATCTCAGGGCTAGGATGAAAGAGACGTTATTGGGGCCTGCTCGAGGCAATCGACGAGTAACAGGATGATGAAATGATGAAATGATGAAAAATTTATATATTTATTTGGCTTTTTGGGTCACACCTGGCGATGCACAGGGGTTACTCCTGGCTCATGCACTCAGGAATTACTCCTGGCGGTGCTCAGGGGACCCTATGGGATGCTGGGGATTGAACCTGGGTTAGCCGCGTGCAAGGCAAACGCCCTCCCCGCTGTGCTATCACTCCAGCCCCCAATAGACAATTTTTAAAGCTGGCTATCCTGAACATTGCTGGAAGGTATCAACCAGCAATGTTAGAAAAAAATGAATGAAACCGTTGGGTATTAACAAGCAAGTAGTTTCATTCCCCCCCCCCTCCCCCACACACACACCTCCTTGAAGAAATCAAATAAAGCAAGAAGAAATAAAGTCAAAGCACCCTACCAGAGTCATTCCAGAATGTTAGACAATAATGGTTCAGTGGTAAAGCTCCTGTTTAACGTGTGTGAGACCCTGGGTTCGATCCCTGGCATCTCATTTTCCATGAGCACAGCCCCAACAAAAAATAATCTGCACAGGGCTGGAGAGACAGCACAGCGGGGAGGGTGTTTGCCTTGCACGCGGCCGACCCGGGTTCAATTCCCAGCATCCCATAGGGTCCCCCGAGCACCGGCAGGAGTAACTCCTGAGTGCAGAGACAGGAGTAACCCCTGTGCATCGCCAGGTGTGACCCAAAAAGCAAAAAAAAAAAAAAATCCTAAGATTTTTGAAAGTTGCTGGCCATGGTCTGGGGAATGTGGAGTAAATGACAGAACATTTGCCTTGGACTCCCTAGATTCTGGGTCTCCGCCCTCCCCACCCCAGCCCAGCCCAGTACCTTCACAGATGTGACCCTGGGACCTGAGAGCTGCAGAGAGTGGCCCCCACAACCATAGCAAGAATATCAACAACAACAACAACAAAAATTGCTAAAAGCAAAGGAACTGGGCAGAGAATACAAGGCAGCGTGTCCTGTGTGACAGATCTCAGAATGTGCTATTATAAAACGGTATCTCCCGAAATGGAAGCTCATCCGAAAAGGAAATATCTAGCACACATAAAGCCAAGCATCTTCAGAAGTCACAAGGCTGGGATGCAGAAAGAAAAGACACTGAGGGCTTTTCCAGAGGGCCCTAATATCAGAGAGGATCTGCGAAACACACTTCCTGAAGGTGAAGGGCTCCCGAGGAAGTGGGTGATTCTGCCCTCTCTTTGCTGCTCCTCCTGGTGAAGGAACTATGAATTCAGGGCTGGTGACAGAAATTCTCCCAAGCTTAGCTTGGGTCCGGCAGGGAACCAGAGGGAACAGGGTCTCATTACAAATTTCGCTAGGGGGAGACAAGGAGATTAACAAGAGGATCTTAATTTTTTTTTAATTGTTATGAGACGATTATTAGTGAGATATCATGAGGTACAGTTGTAGACTTACCATTTTTTAAAAAATTTGTTTATTAGTGAAACACCATGAGGTACAGTTGTAGACTTATAAATTTTTGTGCTTGGGTTTCAGTTATACAATGATCGAATACCCATCCCTCCACCAGTGCCCATCCTCCACCACCACGGGTCCCAGCATCCCCCCCATCCCCCCCCCCCCCCCCCCCCGTCACACCCTGCCTCTGTGGCAGGGCATTCCCCTTGTTCTCTCTCTCTTCTTTTGGGTACTGTGTTTTGCAAGAGAGGCATTGAGTGGCAATCATGTTTGGTCTATAGTCTACTTTCAGCATGCTCCTCCAACCCTGGGAGGATCCTCCCAACACCCTTTATTTGGTGCTCCCTTCTCTATCTGAGCTTCCTTTTCCCCTAGCACGTGTGGCTGGCCTTCAAGTCATGGAGCAAAATTCCTGGTACTAATCTCAGCCATTCCTGGGTGTTAGTCTCCCTTTTTGTTGCTTTATGTTCCCCAGATGAATGCAATCTTTGTGTGTCTGTCCCGCTCTTTCTGACTCATTTCACTTAACATGATACTTTCCATGTAGTACCATTTGTATGTAAATTTCATGACTTCGAGACGATATTATTTTAAGTAATAATAAACACATGGTATTGATATATATCTAGAATTAGGTAAAATAAGTGGTAGTATACCAGTCATCTTGGACTGACATAATACCAGAAATTGGATGACATAAACAGCAGATACTTACTCTTATATATATATAAAAAAAGAGGTTAAGGCACTTGCCTCTCAAGTGGCCAATTCTTTTTTTTTTCCCCTTTATTTTATTTTATTTTTTTTAAAGTTGTAGATTTACAATTTTTTGTGCTTTGGTTTCAATTATACAATGATCAGATACCCATCCCTCCACCAGTGCCCATTTTCCACCACCATGGATAATATCCCCCCACCCCCATCCCCCCATCCCCCCTGTCTCTGTGGCAGGGCAATCCACTGTGTTCTCTCTCTCCTTTTGGGTGTTGTGGTCTGCAAAAGAGGCATTGAGTGGCAAACATGTTCAGTCCATAGTCTACTTTCGACATGCATCTCCCCTCCTGGGAGGATCCTCCAAACATCCTTTATTTGGTGCTCCCTTCTCTATCTGAACTGCCCTTTCCTCTAGGATACCCGGCTAGCCTCTAAGTTATGGAGTAATCCTCCTGGTGCTGATCTCAGAAGTGGCCAATTCTTATTTGAGTCCCCAGCGCTGCATATGGTTCTGTGAGCACTTCCTGGAGAGACCGCTGAGCACAAAGCCAGGAGCTATCCCTGAGCACCGTCAGCATAAAAGGAGGCCCCCAAAACCATGCCACCTGACTCTGAGCCAGGATGTTTTCACCCAGGGCGCCCCAGAGGGGGTGGGTGAGAGCCCTCCCTGCCCCAAGGGACCCAGCTCCGGCAGCCGACTCCACGACTCAACCGCTGCCACGCGCCAGGCCACTTTCCACACGCTTCACAAAATAAACAACAACAAAAAAAAACAAAGAAAATTTCTCAGAGGTGCCATATTGACCAAAGTCAGTCTCTGTAAGAACGAAGAGGGGGTCTTAGCAAAGTGAGAAGCCAGAAAGGAAACCATAGCTGCTCCCTCATCGCTGACCCCCACATGCAAATAATTGCGCCACGAAAAACTAGGTCACAAACATATGATCGGGAACCACAGAGATAATTCAACAAGCTAGAGTTCGTTCTTGACATGCAAAATGACTGGGTTCAGTCCCTGATACCTAAGGGGCTCCTGAGCACTTCCAGGAATGGCCCCAAATAGAGAGGAGAAGAGTCTGAGTTCCACTGAGTGTGGTCTCCCAAAACCAAATCAAGGGTCAGAGACATAGTCCAGGAGGTAAGATGCTTTGCCCTGCACGCAGCTGACCCCTGTTCATTTCCTGTCACCAGAACCGTTCTATGAGCATCTATCAGGAGTAGAGTATACCCTGGGCACTGCTGGGCATGGTGCAAATACCTCTTTGGAAAAAAAAAAGCACAACCAAACAAAAATTGAGTGTTGAGTGTTGAGAAAAAGCTGTAGCACAATATTTGTGGGAAAGGAATGTAAAATTAACAAGAAAGATGTTACCACGGGGCAAATAAAAATGGGTCACCACTCCTTTAACCCCAGGGTAAAAATGTTAATGAAATTATTGTGTGTATGTAGGAAGATCACAGAACTCTCATGGCATGGATGAGTACATTTTTCTTTGGCAGTTTTGTGGCACTAATTTTAGACTTAGAACATCCCTTTCAGTAAACTATGGACCCGAACATGATTGCCACTCAATGCCTCTTTTGCAAACCACAGCACCCAAAAGGATAGAGAAAACAGAAGGGAATGCCCTGCCACAGGGGTAGGGTGGGATGGGGTATGAGGGGGTGAAAGGGCTACTGGGAGCATTGGAGGTGGAGAATGGGCACTGGTGGAGGGATGGGCATTTGATCATTATATAACTGAAACCCAAACACAAAAATGTGTAAGTCTACAACAGTACCTCATGGTGTTTCACTAGTAAAAATTTAAAAAATGAAAAAAGAAGAAAAGAAAAAGAAAATCCCTTTCAGGGAACAAGGGGATAGACAATTCAGTGATCAAAGGGCTTGTCTTGCACAGAGCCAACCAAGGTTCAATCCTGAGCATCACATTTGTTCCCTGAGCTCTGTCAGGATGACCACTGAGCTCTGAACCAGTAGTGATTCCTAAGCACCGCCAGGTGTAGACCCTATCTCCTTATATGTATCTACTAACTCCATGGCTTCCATTTCTTCCCTTAAATAAAGTGTTTCCTTGATGAGCTTTGGACTAGTTGATCTATCAAGAGGTGACGAAGTGATACTGAAGCCTCCAACTTCTGTTGTGTGCTACACATGTTGTGTGCTACACATGCTATCAATGTTTTTCTTCAAGCCTATTAGCAGTTGTTTAAAGTATTTTGCTGGTCCCTCATTTGGTGCATATACATTTAGGAGTGTGAGATCTTCCTGAAGTACAGATCCCTTGATCGTTTAGAAATGACCTTTACTGTTTCTGATGACCTTCTTCAGCCTGAAGTCTATATCATCAGATACTAATAGGGCCACCCACCCCTGCTTTTTTGGTGGGAGTTGTTTGTTTGAAGAATTGTTTTCCAGTCTTTGATTTTGAATCTGTGTTTGCTCTTGCTGTTCAGATGTGTTTCTTGCAGGCAGCAGAGCATGGTGTCTTTATGGGCACACACTGTGCTGATTTTGTAACTCTGTGCTGGTTGCAAATTCCCTAATAGACCCTGGGATTTGTGGGCGGCCATCTGTGCTGATTCCCTGGTAAATGATGAGGAAGTGTGCCTTGACCTTGAACGATTTCAAAAGAACCATTTTCTTCCTTTCACTGTATGATTGCAACCATATCTGTTCCCCTCTCCTCTCATCAGGATTTGGTTTGTTTTACGACAGGTTCGGTTATCTTAATTGATACTCACTGGAATGTAGGTTTAGAGGATAAATGACTCACTTGTTGCAGGCTAAAGGCCCCAGTGCTTTTTAGTGAATTTGGAATAAAACTTCCTGTTCACCTCTCCTATTTTTGTTTTCATTTTTGGGACAGGACAGTCTCGGACTGGGCCAAGGACAATGAAGATAGTAAAGTTTCTACCCAGGCCTCCACTATCTGCTTGTTCCAGGAGGAATGTACAGGCCCCTGAGCTATGACCATATAAGGGTATAATCTAACTTCACAAAAGATCTTGCGGTTGACTAATGAAACAGCTGTCACGGGTCTGGGCCTAGCCCTTGGACCCAGATATTGCTTGAAGCCCGGAGTGGGCACTTACATAAATTGTGACCTTCAAATCTGCTGTAAAGGCCAGTATAGGCCTATAAATGTTCCCTTCTGAAGAAGCTTGGGGTCTTGCCTAACCTACTGGACCTGCGTGTCGGTGGGATGGCTTGACCCTGGCTAGCCAGCTCAATGAACTGCCTGCTTGCTGATTGCATTCCTGCGTGGTCCTTGTCTGCATCGGAGAACCCGAGCCATGCCCTAATGGATTCTATTTTATTTTTTTAGCTTTTTTTTCTTTTTTTGGTCACACCCAGCAACACTCAGGAATCATTCCTGGCTCTGCACCCAGAAATTAGTCCTGGCGGTGCTTGAGGGACCATATGGGACACTGGGGATAGAACCCAGGTCGCTGTGTCAAGGTCATCCTACCCACTGTACCATCCCTCCAGCCCCCACTCATTGAGTTTGGGTGAACTTGGATGTTAACAATCTTTGTATCATTTCCCCCCTCCCACCTTTATCGTATTTTATTAACAAAATAAAATTGACAGAGGCAGGTCATGGACCAGAGATAACACAGGGGTAGAGCACTTGCATATTGATTATTTGGGTTTTATCTCTGCTAGGAATGATCTCTGGGCATAGAGCGAGGTGTGGCCCCCAAACAAACAACCCTAGAGGGGCAGTTTGGGTCGCACCCAGCTGTCCTCAAGGCTGGAACTCAGGGAACTTCGGCGGTCTCAGGGGATCATACATGATGACCCCTCTTGTCTTCTTCTTCACTCTTGCCCACCTCCCCCCGCCCCCCAAGGCCAAGGCCCAAGGCCTTGGGTGTCCTGTTGAGCAAAATAAGAGTAAGCATGACAAGTACTGGGTTATCTCACGTGTTTGTAGTATGTAGGACTAGTAAACAAGGGAATCACAGATCACAGATCACGGTCCTCCCGTTGTTCATTGATTTGCTCAAGCGGGCCCAGTAACGTCTCCATCATGAGACTTCTTGTTACTGTGTTTGGAAACTCAAGGCCAAGGGTTTGTCATCATTAAATACTGTCTAAACCCTTGTTGGGCTGGAGCGATAGCACAGCAGTAGGGCATTTGCCTTGCACGCAGCCAATATGGCCAACCCCAGTTCGATTCCTTCGCCCCTCTTGGAGAGCCCAGCAAGCTACCGAGAGTATCTCGCCCGCACGGCAGAGCCGGCAAGCTACCCATGACGTATTCGATATGCCAAACACAGTAACAACAAATCTCATGATGGAGACGTTACTGGGCCCACTCGAGCAAATCAATGAACAACGGGAGGACCGTGATCTGTGATCTGTGATTCCCTTGTTTACTAGTCCTACATACTACAAACATGTGAGATAACCCAGTACTTGTCATGCTTACTCTTATTTTGCTCAACAGGAGACACCCAGTAGCTCCATCATGTTAGAGTGAACTGCAAGATTTCATATTTTCTTACAGATGTGTAGTATTTTCCCAAAGATGTGTAATATTCCACAATGTCTATGTACACAACTTCTAGATCTATTCATCTACTATTGAACATTTATGTTGTTTCTATATCCTGACTATTGTCAGTATCATTTTTTAAAATTAAGCGTTCCTCTCATGGGAAGGAGGTCAGTACCGGCTCGTCCTTCACGCCCTACCAAGGTCACGAGTTGCCCCCCACGAGCGGCTCTCAGACTCTCATATGGTTCTCATAACCAGCAATAGAAAACAAATTATTTCACAATGCCTTTTCAGAAATTCTAATTGTTGGGGGAAATTCTAAACAATAATGGTGCATCTTTTGTCGAAATAATGAATGTAATCAAAGTAGAGAGAGAGTTAAGTAGAAATCATCTGCCTCACAGGCATTAGGAGGGATGGGTGGGGGGTATATTGGGGTTCTTTGTGGTGAAAAATGAGTACTGGTGAATGGACAGGTGTTTGATCACTGTATGACCAAGACTTAAAGCTGAAAGCTTTGTAACTTTTCCCACGGTGATTTAATAAATAACTCACTCTGTCACTCTCCTCCCATTGTTCATCGATTTGCTCGAGTGGGCCCAGTAACGTCTCCATTGTGACACTTGTTACTGTGTTTGGCATATCAAACACATCACGGGTAGCTTGCCAGGCTTTGCCATGTGGGCAAGATACTTTCAGTAGCTTGCCAGGCTATCCGAGAGGGGCAGAGGAATCGAACCTGGGTTGGCCGAGTTGGCTGCATACAAGGCAAACGCCCTACCCGCTCTAAAAATAAAATTAAGCTTTCCTTTCTCTACTTATTATAAAAGATTTTGTTTTACATTATAAGTTCTTACATATGTGAATATATAAAATAAGTATTGATATGTTTTAAGAAAATTTCATGGAAGAATACTTTAAGGACTATGGATCTTCCGTTTGAATAATGTTTTGCAAAGTCATTTTCACTCACATGTAGGAGGCAAACTTGTTACCATGTAGTTTTTGTTTTTTTTTTAGGTGAGATAACTTTTCTTTAGGTCACACCTGGTAATGCTCAGGTCTTACTCATGGCTTGGCACTCAGGAATAACTCCTGGTCATGCTCTAGGGGACTATATATATGAGATGCCAGGGATAGAACCTGGATTAGCTGTGTGCAAAGCAAATGCCCTATACACCCCTGGAAGTAACATTTTTAGTGAGACTGACCTTTCTTAATAGTAATTTTAGCCTCCCTGGATGTGATTATTTACAAAAAAAAAACAAGTCAGAGTCACACATTCAAATCATTACCTAAAACCTCAGTGTGAAGGTGAAAAAGATTTCATTCTATATGAACCGGCGGTGAAGGGGCAACTGCAACCTCATGGGAAGGGGGGCATTCCCGGCTCGTTCTTCACGCCCTGCCGAGGTCACGAGTTGCCCCCCACGAGCGGCTCTCTGGCACAGCCATGGCTCCAGAGCCACAGAAACCAATCTTGTAATTATCTGGCTCTTGGCAGAAATACCTCCAGGCTTAATAAGTAAAATATTAGAAATCCAAAATCGTGCATGCAACATTATATGGTTCTCATAACCAATTGTAGAAAACAAATTATTTTACAATACCTTTTCAGCAGTTCTGATTGTTGGGTGTAAACTCTAAACAACAATGGTGCATCTTTTGTCGAAATAACGAATGTAATCAAAGTAGATAGAGAGTTAAATAGAATTCATCTGCCTCACAGGCATTGGGAGGGATGGGAGGGGTGTATATTGGGGTTCTTGGTGGGGAAAAATAAGTATTGGTGAAGGGAAAGGTGTTTGATCATTGCATGACCCAGACTTAAACCTGAAACCTTTGTAACTTTTCCCGCAGTGATTCAATAAATAAATAAATAAATATAAAAAAGAAAGGAAAAAAAGATTGCAGTCTAGAAAATACCCCCCTTGATTTTCTTTTTTCTTTTGGCTTTTTGGGTCACACCCGGCATTGCACAGGGGTTACTCCTGGCTCATGCACTCAGAAATTACTCCTGGCGGTGCTCGGGGGACCATATGGGATACTGAAAATGGAACCCTGGTCGGCCACGTGCAAGGCAAATGCCCAACCCGCTGTGCTATCACTCCAGCCCTCAATCCCCCTTGAATTTTATTAACAAAGAAACAAGAAAATGCTTTTTATGCTTTTAATGGGTGTATTTGTAGTTCAGTAAAAGTAGTAAATGTTAAATGTAAATTATTTCCCTAAGAATGAATCCTTATTTTGTACAATCACTTTGTTATCAAGCAACATTTATGGACAGTTCCCTGGGTCTACAGTATTGAATTTTCTAACCATTGTGTATATTTTCTTCACCAAACTTGAATGGTTTCTTGCACCCTGAAGAAGAATGACTTGGTATCACAGCATCACCAACTGAAGTCTCTTGATAAAATGTTTTCTCTTTAATTCATTACAAAATGGCAATTTTCTCAAACCCATATGATTTTATATTTCTTTTTTCTTCAGATACTGTGAATTAAAAACAGTTAAAACTAAACGATAAACAATATAACCAACTACAGAGGTTATTCTATCTTATGCAGGAGGTCTTAAATGATACTGATGTTTTATATTACTTAGTATATGCTTAGTATACTTTGATCAGTAAAAAGTTAGAAGTATATAAATGAACAAATAACAATATTTGTTGGGGAAAGTGAATGGATTCTCTTCACAATAACAAAAGCTTGGCTTTATTCGTTTTTTAGGAGTGTAGTAGAATGTTTTAATATTAACCAAAAGATCTTTCTGTTCTCCTTACGCCCTCGGATGCTTACTTGATTCAGTTTTAGGTAACAGAAAGAACTCCTAATTTTTATTGCTAGAATATTATTCCTTGGCTAGATGGAATTATCAGATTTTAGGCTGGCTTCGTCACTCACTTTTCAACTTTTGTGAGCATTCCCCGTTTCCCTGTTGACTTTTCCAAACAGTCGTTTTTCTAAAAACATCCATGAATTAGTATGGGAACTATAGGCAATAATCATTAGATAATGACTGATAAGAATGATCATAAATCTCATGGGCTGGGATTTCTGTTGCTATGATAAGAAAGCTCTATCTTGTTAATTAGCTTTGTAGAGAAGCCTTTTGGGATGAGAAATGCGTATTTCCAAAGAAACCATTCTTCATGCTTATTTGACAGCTAAAATGTCTCTGGTTTGATGCATCACGGTATTTAGGGTAGAATCTACATGCAGTTTCTTCAGCAAGCTTGTTCCATCAGGAGCGCCCAGCCACCAAACAGATGTCTCACGGCTTGTCATTTTGTCTCTGTTCACTGCCAAGGAGATCGCAGATTCTCCAACAAAATTCACCGCCAGATTTCAAACAGAGGCAGCTTTGCTTCAACTATCTATCACACCTAAAAAAAAAAAATCAAGAAACAGAGCAAATTCACAGAAGTTTTACAGTATTTTTAAAGAACTCTACAAGTTAGTTGTCTACTATCATTTTTATTAGGGCTGGAGCGATAGCACAGTGGGAAGGGCGTTTGCCTTGCACGCAGCCAACAAATCAATCCGAGTTCGATTCCTCTGCCCCTCTTGGAGAGCCCGGCGAGTATCTCGGCCTCACGGCAAAGCCTGGCAAGCTACCTGTGACGTATTTGATATGCCAAACAAGTCTCAAAATGTTACTGAGCCCGCTCGAGCAAAATCGATGAACAATGAATGGGAGGACAGTGACAGTGACATTTTTATTAGTTTGTTTTTTGTCTTTGGGTCACACCTGGCATTGCTCATGGGTTACTCCTGGCTCTGCACTTAGGGATTATTCCTGGTGGTGCTTGTGGGACCATATGGGATGTTTGGGAGATCAAATGCCTTACCAACTGCACTATCTTTCTGGCCCCTATAATTTTTGGTTTAAAAATAATTTGTTAGGGGCTAGTAAAGGCTGCTGCTAGGAGGGCCTGCTCGGGATGGGAGATGCAGACTGAAAGTAGACTATAGACCGAACATGACGGCCACTTAATACGTCTACTGCAAACCACAACACCCAAAAGGATAGGAAGAACAAAAGGGAATGCCCTGCCACAGAGGCAGGGTGGAGTGGAGGGGACAGGGCGGGTGCGGTGGGAGGGGTGCTGGGACCATTGGTGGTGGAGAATGGGCACTGGTGGAGGGATGGGTACGCGATCATTGTATGACTTAAACACAAGCATGAAAGTTTATAAGTCTGTAACTGTAACTCACAGTGATTGACTAATAAAAACTTAAAAAAAATAATTTGTTAGGGGCTGGAGCAATAGCACAGCGGGTAGGGCGTTTGCCTTGCACGCGGCCAACCTGGGTTCGATCCCCGGCATCCCATGTGGTCCCCCAAGCACCGCCAGGAGTAATTCCTGAGTGCAGATCCAGGAGTAACCCCTGTGTCACCCCAGGTGTGCTTTGCATGTTCAAGGCCCCCAGCTTGTGAGGGTTTTGTTTGAGGGGAGGGGTCCACCTAGATGTGTCCAGGGCTTAGTCCTGTCTCTGTTCTTAGGGGTCACTTCTGATGGTACTGGAGGGATCATTTGTGGAACCAGAGACTGAACACTGGGTCAGCAGCAGCATAGCGAGAGAGGCCCTCAGTTTGAAAGTCAGCACTAAAAAAAAAAAAAAAGGAAAACAAAACAAAATAAGAAGAAAAAGAAGGAACATAATTTAGGAAGAGAGAGGAAAAATGGCGAGTAGAAAGTCATTGTCAAATGAAGAGGTAAGCACATGTATGTAAGTAAAAGTAAAGGCCCTCCCATTGATCGTCGATTTGCTCGAGCGGGCCCAGTAACGTCTCCATTGGAGATTTTGTTGTTAGTGTGTCTGGCATATCGAATACTCTCCGTAGCTTGCCGGGCTCTCCGAGAGGGGCGGAGGAATCGAACTCGGGTCGGCCATGTTGGCCGCTTGTAAGGCGAACGCCCTACCGCTGTGCTATCGCTCCAGCCAGCACATGTATGTAATCTTGCAAAAAGTAGGGTAATAGCATTATGGAGCTGTTAATAATTCATTATTTTTTCTAAATTAATATAATTATAATTTATTATATAACCATAACTTTTCATATAGAGGCTCTTCCAAATTCTATTAGCTTTCTGGTTCCATAAATCTGGGATTCATTGCTGAGGCAGCTAGTATCATTAGGCCCATTTAAATTTAAGTTTATTTAAATTTGGAGAAATTAAGTAACCTTCAAAAGACCACACAGAGTTATCAGTAGGTAGATAGTGCAGGGGTCAAGGCACTTAATCCTCTTCAATTCCCAGATCACTTATGCTTTCTGAGCATAACTGGGTGTAGCTCAAAAGTAAATAGAATAGGACTTCCTTATCCCACAACGTTTGATTTTAGGTGTCAACTTGTCAAGGCTATGAGAGCCACTTGTTTGGTTAAGCATCAGTCCAGATGTTGCTCTGAAGATGTTGCACATCTACATTTTTTTTAAGTTTAAATGTGAAATTTTATTTTATTTTTTATTTATTTTTTTCATTCTTTTTTAAAAAATTATTTATTTATTTATTTATTTATTTTATTTTTATTAGTGAGTCACCATGAGGTACAGTTGTAGACTTACAAATTTTTGTCCTTGCGTTTCAGTCATACAGTGCTCGAGTACCCATCCCTCCACCAGTGCCCATTTCCCACCACCACGGGTCCCAGTATCCCTCCCACCCCCCATCCCCCCCATCCAACCCTGCCTCTGAGGCAGGGCAATCCCTTTTGTTCTCTCTCTCCTTTTGGGTGTTGTGGTTTGCAAAAGAGGCATTGAGTGCCAATCATGTTCGGTCCATAGTCTACTTTCAACATGTATCTCCCATCCTGGGAGGATCCTCACAGCACCTTTTATTTGGTGCTCCCTTCTCTATCTGAGCTGCCTTTTCCCCTAGCATGTGTGGCTGGCCTCCAAGTCATGGAGCAAAATTCCTGGTACTAATCTCGGCCATTCTTGGGTGTTAGTCTCCTATTTTGTTACCTAGCATATCTACTTTTTAAAAAATGAGATTTAAATCAGTAGATTTTCGGTGAAGCAGATTACATTCCATCACGTGGGTGGTTCCCATTCAACACACTGAAGACCTTAAGAGAAGACCCCAAAGAAGAAATTCTGCCTCCAGATGGTTTTTGCATCCAAAACTCTCTCCTGGGTCTCCAGTTGGCTCCAAGCCTTGTGATTTCAGAGTTCTTAGTTTCCACAATTGCATGTGTGTTTCCTGAAAACATCTCTCTCTCCCTTTTGTATTGGTTCTGTTTTTCTAGACAATGCATGACCAATATAAGAAGAAATGCGAAACCCGTATCTACTTATGCATACATAGGCTATTGGGCAGTAACTGGTTGATCTTGGCCATTCACTGAATCTCTTTAGACATAGTTTCATAATCACCATAAGCACATCGTATTAGACCAGTTTCTCGACTTTGTTGTAAGTGCCATTTGGAGCTGGTAAGGTAAAGGTAAAGGTAAAGGCCCTCCCGTTGATCGTCGATTTGCTCGAGCAGGCCCAGTAACGTCTCCATTGGAGACTTTGTTGTTACTGTGTCTGGCATATCAAATACTCTTGGTAGCTTGCCGGGCTCTCCGAGAGGGGCAGAGGAATCGAACTCGGGTCGGCCATGTTGGCCGCTTGTAAGGCGAACGCCCTACCCGCTGAGCTATCGCTCCAGCCCTAAAGGTAAAGGCCCTCCCGTTGATCGTCGATTTGCTCGAGCGGGCCCAGTAACGTCTCCACTGGAGACTTTGTTGTTACTGTGTCTGGCATATCGAATACACTCGGTAGCTTGCCGGGCTCTCCGAGAGGGGCGGAGGAATCGAACTCGGGTCGGCCATGTTGGCCGCTTGTAAGGCGAATGCCCTACCACTGTGCTATTCCTCCAAATTCCAGTAGGCGGGGGTCACACCCAACAACTGGCCCCCTGGCACCATGTAATCCCATCAACGGCCAAGACCCAGAGACTATAAAACCCAGATCCCGGAAGAACATGGCCGCATTTGCGGCTGCGCGACATCTTATAATGACATTTTATTATCTCATTCTTACTTTGGACAACCTGGCAGGCTACCGAATGTAACCTGCCCACACGGCAGAGTCTGGCAAACTCCCCGCGGTGTACCCAATATGCCAAATACCAGTAACAACGAATGGGTCTCATTCTCCTAACCCTGAAAGAGCCTTGAATATGGCACTTTTTTAAAAATCTCAGGGCTAGGACGAAGGAGACGTTACTGGGGCCTGCTCGAGGCAATCGAGGTGAATTCTTTGTGAGTGGTGGGAGGGTCTGGCCTATGCATTTAGGATTTTCAGCAGCAATCCTGTTTCTGTCCACTAGATGCCAGTACTACCACCCAGTTATGACAACCGAAAATAGCTAAAGAGAGAGGAAAGAGACAAAATTCCTCCCAACCAATTTGAGCACCACTGGATTAGGGCTTTTTGTTTCGTTTTTTAGGCCACATTTGGCAATGCGTAGGGCTTAGTCCTAGCTCAGGGATCATTCCTGGTTGAGGCGGGGGACCATATGGGACACCAGGGGACCATATGGGATGACCGTATGAGATCGAACCCAGGTTGGCCCTGTGTAATGTAAGCGGACTATGTACTGCACTGTCAAGCTCCTGTATTAGATCATCTTAATGTTTTAATATGAGCATATGAATATTATTAGAGAGTAGGTATATACTGAGGCAGCTTTGAAAATTTCAGACTGGCCATTTAGTCCTCTTAGTGGGACGCCCTAAAGATGACTATTCACTATGCTGTAGTTGTTAAAAATAGAATTCCTTCAGCTCCTTTAAGAGAAAAGCAAAAAAAAAAATAGCTGAAAAGAGAGGGACCAGAAATATTGGCAATATGAAGTTCTTGGCAATGGGTAAATGCAGCCATTTTCAGAATTTTCTAACAGCTGCAGTCATAGTTCTTAGATGGAAAATGACTGTCCCTTAAAATAAAAGCCACTAATGACATTCCTGAACTGGTGGATGTCTAGGTTTCTCATAGGAACAGACTTTGTTGAACTCTGCATGGTTTTGCAGTACTTCTTGCCTCACAAACAGTAATGCAATAAGAAATATTTTCCCAAAGAAAACTTTGGTGAGTTGAATATCTGGATACGGATTGGCTGAAGTAGCACTGTAGCACTGTCCTCCCGTTGTTCATCGATTTGCTCGAGCGGGCCCAGTAACGTCTCCATTGTGAGACTTGTTGTTACTGTTTTTGGCATATCGAATACGCCACGGGGAGCTTGCCAGGCTCTGCCTTGCGGGCGGGATACTCTCGGTAGCTTGCTAGGCTCTTGAGAGTGGTGGAGGAATCGAACCCGGGTCAGCCGTGCGCAAGGCAAATGCCCTACTCGCTTCAGCCCTATTTCAAACCAAAGTTAGAATTTGCTCGAAGTAGAAGAGGAAAATGCAGAAATATTCCACGAGATGGCGACGTATCTGACTGCCCTACCAGACGTGAAGACAGTTTTCTTCTGTTTTGGGCCCACAACTGGCTATGATCAGGTCTCACTCCTATCTCTGTGCTCTGGTCTCACTTCTAATTCCTAGCAGGGCTTGAGGGATCATAATTGGTTCTGGGGATGGAACTCTGGCCCATGAAGGCAAGGCAAGTGCCCTACCCACTGTTGGATCTCTCTGGCCTACAAAGGGTTTTGCATGAACTTCCGCCCTAGGACATTTTTTCCCCCCAAGACTTTTCTTCAAATCAACTTCCAAAGCAATTTCAAAGAAACCCAAAGAAATTTTTCAAAAAACTTTCAAATTTTCAAAGAACTTTAAAAGGAATTTCAAAGCCAGACTCAGGTTCGGATGGCATCAAAATCTACTTTCTTTCTTTTTTTTTTTTTTTTTTTTTTTTTTTTTGCTTTTTTGGGTCACACCCGGCGATGCACAGGGGTTCCTCCTGGCTCTGCACTCAGGAGTTACTCCTGGCGGTGCTCAGGGGACCAGATGGGATGCTGGGAATCGAACCTGGGTCGGCCGCATGCAAGGCAAATGCCCTACCTGCTGTGCTATCTCTCCAACCCCCAAAATCTATTTTCATTGCAAAAGCTTTCTCTCTTTTCTCAATCTAAATTACTGAACTAGTCAAGTTATTTAGTTATGCTATTACTGGCAAGTACACAAAATTTGAAATAAACCCATTTTGGTTTTGGGTTTTGAGCCACACCCAAGAATACATACTCTGGACTCAATACTCACTCCTGGCAGGCTTGGGAGACCACATGGGATCGGCTGTGTACAAGGCAAATGCCTTACCCTTTGTAATATCATTCCAGCCCCAGTATAAACCCATTTTAACTTTCATTTCCTTAACACTTCTCACTGATGTGTTAGAACTGAATTACCTATGCTTAGCAGTCTGAGACACGAAAAGGGCAGAAGCTGGGATGTTGACATGCTATGCAGAACTTTGAAACACCATCTTGTGCTTCAAAAGATAGTCCAGTGACTTGGAGATCTGGTTACGGAGCTTTTAGAATGGGAACTTGACCACTAGACATCAGGGTAACTGAGAAGTCTCATATCAAAATGAGAAGGGCTAAGGGTTTAGGTAAGCAATTAACTTCTAACTGGCAAGTTTTAAGACTCACAACGAACTCATTTGGAGAGCACATCACTGCCCCTGTAGGCATGAGTCAAAAGCTGCTACACTTAGGATTGGTTTGGTTTTGGTTTAGGAAGAGAGGTTTTTGTGGAGTCTCATCAGTGCTGGTCTTAGTTGTAGAGTAAAACTGCAGAGGACATTTTAGAAGAAAGGGGATGGCGGTCAGCACTGCACTGCATGCAGTTTCATATCACATTCATAATGTGAAATCAAATGACAAGTAACATAGTCTCAAAGCTGGCCAAAGTTAGGCCGAGATCAGACAGAGCTTAAGCCAAAGAGAGAAAACAGAAAAAATAATTTTTAAAATAAGGGCATCTGTTGAGGTTGGAGCAGTAGTGCAGTGGATAGGGCGTTTGCCTTGCACATGGCTGACCCGGGTTCGATTCCCAGCATCCTATATGGTCCCTTGAGCACCGCCAGGAGTAATTCCTGAGTGCAGAGCCAGGAGTAACCCCTGTGCATCGCCGAGTGTGACACAAAAAGAAAAAAAAAGGGGGGCATTTGTAATAGGCTTTGCCTTTATGTTTTACATTATGTCCCTATTAATCAACAAAAGAAGTCAATAATAGTGGTTTTTTTTTTTAACCGAGATTCTATCAAAAACAATAGGAAGGATAAGCACAAAAGGTCAGGACAGTGCTAAAGCCAACATGGAATTCCAGTTCAAAATTTTGTTTAGAGGAGGGCTGGCTCTAAAAATGTACTTCCTTCAGAACTTACTAAAACTGAATCATTAATTTTCTTGGTAAACATCTTGGAAAGGGGCTGGAGCGATAGCATAGTGGGTAGGGCGTTTGCCTTGCACGCGGCCAACCCGGGTTCGATTCCCAGCATCCCATACGGTACCCTGAGCACTGTCAGGAGTAATTCCTGAGTGCAGAGCCAGGAGGAACCCCTGTGCATCACTGGGTGTGACCCCAAAAGAAAAAAATAATCTTGGAAAGAATTCTTATCAAGGGGCCAGAGGCATCGTACAGGGGTTAGGTCTCATCTCTTGCATGGGGCAACCCTGGTTTGATCCTTGGTGTCACATGATCTTTTGAGCATCACAGGATGCAGCCCCTCAGCATAGCCCAGTGTGGCCCTTAGAGACACCCTCCCAGTCAGCAACTGAGCACTGAGAGTGGGTCCTGAACAGCACCCCCTCCTCCTCCGGTGCTGGCACTGAACCACGGGCAGAGTTGCCTAGCTAAGCATCAACAAGACAGGGCCCTGGGAAGCCGTTCCCCACCTAGCTCCATCAAACAGACGAACTCTACCAAATGGGTTACGATTTAAAGACAACCAGAATCAGAAAGGAGGGAGGTAGAGGGAACGCTCAGCACACAGGTCAAACCACTGTCTCTGATTGCAAATGCAGTCAGTCCACGGACGCACCTCAAGATGACCCCACAGTCTGTGCTCCCCATTCCAGAGAAACACTCCCTCCCTTGTGATGTGACAAATGCCATGTTCCTCCTCCTCCTCTGGCTCCTTCCAACTCCCACACAAAAATTAAACACATCTTCTGTGAAATAAAGAGTTTCTCGGCGGCCATCTCAGCGCATCAATGGCCTTGACCCAGAGACACAGCAGTAAATCCCGGGAAGACAGCAGCTCGCCAGAGATCTCTCCAGACCCCCTACCCAGCCAATTCCACTGGGACCCCTCAGATGGAGTGGACGGTGCCCTCTCTGCCCAGTCCAGATGAAACCCCAATGGCCATGAGCTTCCAGAAGCAAAACCCAGGTACGGCAGGGCTCAGGGACTAAGACTCCAAGCCACATGACGGCAGCGGAGACGGGGTTGTTCCTTGCCATCTTCCCACCCGCTTGGGGTCCTGGCTGTCACACTCACAACCTGCCTCCCACGCCATCTAGCACATCAATGGCCTTGATCCAGAGACTCCCAAATGAATCTCAGAATGGATTAGCTCTCTACAGAAATGTCTCTGGACCCCAACCGTTTACAATTTTAGAATCCAGAAGTGTGCAGCTGCTTTTGTGGCCATGCGACCTTTCATAATATTCATGATAAGCAACAGTAAATAAATGATCTAGCAGCTGCCCCCGGCAGGCAGGCTTGAATGGGGGTGGGAAAATTCGAAATAATGGTGGTGGGAAGGGGTAATGGTGGTGGGATTGGTGTTGAAATATTGAATGTAATGAATTAGAGTCTCCTGCCCCCGCACCTGGCTGTCCTCACTGGGGCCCCTTGGAGGGGGGAGGGTTGAGTTTCTCTCCCCCCGCTCCGCCCCGAGCAGAGCCCCAGCAGCTGAGGACCTCCGGAGCCAGCCACGGCCATGCTGGGACCACTCTCCACATGTCCGGATGGGCCTCATGCATGAAAGAACTGGCAGAGGAACCCAGGCATGCGGGTCACAGGGCTGAGGTCTCCAAGCCTACTTGTATTGGGACTGGGCCTTCTCCACCCAGACACCCCCCCCCCCCCCATCTTCCAGTAGGTAGGCGTCACACCCACCAGCTGCCGCCAGCACCAGGTTGGTCCCATCAATGGCCAAGACGCAGAGACTATAAAACCCAGCTCCCGGAAGCGCGCGGCCGCATTTGTGGCTGTGCAACATCTTATCATCTTATTTTCCCTTTGGAGAACCTGGCAGGCTACCAAAAGTATCCTGCCCGCACGGCAGAGTCTGGCAAACTTTCCGTGTCGTACTCAATATGCCAAATACCAGTAACAATGATGGGTCTCATTCTCCTAATTCTGAAAGAGCATTGAAATGGCTCTTTTAAAATCTCAGGGTTAGGACGAAGGAGGCGTTACTGGTGCCTGCTCGAGGAAATCGACGAACAACAGGATGATTGTGATCGTGATTTAATGTAAACAACCTTTTTTTTCTTCTTTTTGGGTCACACCTGGCGATGCACAGGGGTTACTCCTGGCTCTGCACTCAGGAATTTCTCCTGGCAGTGCTCAGGGGACCACGCGGGATGCTGGGAATCGAACCTGGGTCGGCTGCGTGCAAGGCAAATGCCCTACCCGCTGTACTATTGATCCAGCCCCTAATGTGAACAACCTTATGAAAATGAAATCTAAAAAAATAAGAGTTTCTCAGCAAGACATTCAGAAGACCTAAATACTATATTTCCCACTCACAGGTATCTGGTGCACAGGGACATGTTACAAGGCGATAAAAGTATTTGAAAGTTCCGGGCAAGAAAAATCCGGTAGCAGAACTCAGCATTTCCCAAATCTCATTCCTTCCCTTTTTCCTTACCCTCACCCACTGGAATACCCACTAGCATTTTGCAGAATGGTCAAGTTCTCTGGTTCAGAAAATGCATTCCTTGGAAGAAAGTGTTTACATTTTCTTGCCGCGGTGAAGGAATCGTGAAGATTTAAAAGGCTTACCAAAAGGATCTATTTGATATCCTGAGAGTTAAGATTTTTGCTTAGATTCGGCTTTTTGGTACAGTTGTTTAGTTTTTGTCCTATCATTCTCCTAATTGAAACGTCATCCGTATTGGGAAACAACTGCTTTGTGACTCCTGTAAGAAACAACAAACACACACAAAAAGTCTTCAAGTATAAACCCAGATAAAAATATTAGGCAACTCACAGTGTGATTCTGTTTTCAGTTTGTGAAAGCAGCACAAATACCCAGGAAATATTTAAATAAGTGAGCATACAGGCAGGTTTTAAAAAATGAAGTGAGAGACAACAAAGATCTATACAACAAATTGAGCAAACACATTTGTCTTCCTACGCTACCACTCGAGTTTAGTCTTACTTTGCTTGAACTCCAAAATGTTAGAAATGTAAGGTAAGGTAAGGTAAAGGCCCTCCCGTTGATCGTCGATTTGCTCGAGCGGGCCCAGTAACGTCTCCATTGGAGACTTTGTTGTTACTGTGTCTGGCATATCCAATACTCTCGGTAGCTTGCCGGGCTCTCCGAGAGGGGCAGAGGAATCGAACTCGGGTCGGCCATGTTGGCCGCTTGTAAGGCGAACGCCCTACCCGCTGTGCTATCGCTCCAGTCATTATTTCCCAGGATCAAGATGAAACACCTCGGTTCTGTGTTACAGGAAATTCCCCAAATTAGTTGGACATTTACCAAGAATATATGTTTTTCTAGATGAACATATTTAATGAAGTTCGCTAATTAAAGACAAGATAGAGTAAGTCAAATTCATGTGTATTTTAATTTAAATTTATTATTTTATTTTTGGGGGAGGCACAACTGATACTGAGAGGTTACTAGTGACTCTGCACTCAGGAATTATTTCTAGCAGTGCTAGAGGGACCATAGGGGATGCCAAAAATTGAGCCCAGAAAACAAGGCAAGTTCCCTATCTGTTGTTCCTGCTCCAGTCCCTAATTTGTATAATATATATATATATATATATATATATATATATAGGGACATAACTAAGGAAAAAATAAAGAGAATATAAGCTGTTCCTAAAATTTTATTTGTGAATATTTTAAACACTTTTTTACTAAAACAAAGAATTCTACAAATCCAAACTTTAACTGAAAAGATTTTTTTCATTTTGATCGTTGCTCTGAGGGTTAAGTTTCTCTACAGAATTTCCCATATTTAATAAAAGTTTTGGAGCATTCTGAGATTTCTCTTCCATAAAAAAAAAATTGATTATAAAGAAAGGACCATACGCCCAGGATGGGAGATGCATGCTGAGAGTAGACTATAGACCAAACATGATTGCCACTCAATGCCTCTTCTGCAAACCACAGCACCCAAAAGGAGAGAGAGAACAAAAGGGAATGCCCTGCCACAGAGGCAGGGTGGGATGGGAGGTTGGAGGGATACTGGAATCCGTGGTGGTGGGAAATGGGCACTGGTGGAGGGATGGGTGTTTGATCATTGTACAATTGAAATCCAAGCACAAAAATCTGTAAGTCTACAACTGTACCTCATGGTGTTTCACTAATAAAAATTAAAAGAATTTAAAAAAATTGAAAAAAGAAAAAAAGGACCATAAAAGAATAACAACATTTAATGGAAAATAATTTCAAATCCATGTGAATGCAATCATAGTATCACCTATGATTTCCTGAACTTCATTCTGATTCATAGCTGGTTTGACGGCCTTGTCCCTTGAAGTAGAAGATTTCGCTCCAGTCAGGCTGTGTGTGGCCATGTACTCATTAGTGTAAAGTACTTGCATTAAATCATTAATAAACTTCTGAGGCTTGCTCTTGTTACAACGGGCAATCTGCCATTTTTCAATCTTGAACTGAAAAGAAAAATAATAATAACTAAAATTGGAAAAAAACAAAAAGAGAATAAAGTCTGAAAAAAAATGTATTACTGAGCGAAAAACATATCAGAAAATGAAATCAACATTCTTGAAGGTGATGCTCTCATTCTGTTAATACTTACTTTACATTTCAAGGGTTAGAGTGACATGTTATCTTTGAGATAATTTCTAATATTCATGAGGTCTGTTCCTGTGTGTATACAAATTCCTCTGCTGCCACCTGGATTTGGTGCTCTGAGAATGAGTCCCATTCTCCACACTCCCCACCAAGTAAGGTAGGCAGAAAAATGGCTCACTGAATTTACACACATGGCACCGTTAGCTCCTGTGACTATGTTGGTTTATAAGGGAAGGACAATTTTATGGAGATGATTACATTTACATACCTTGAGATAGGGAGATCAGCCTCGATTATCCAGGTGGACCCAATCTAATCGCTTTTTTTTTTTTTGCTTTTTGGGTCACACCCGGCGATGCTCAGGGGTTACTCCTGGCTCTGCACTCAGGAATTACTCCTGGTGGTGCTCGGCGGACCGTATGGGATGCTGGGAATCGGACCCGGGACGGCCATGTGCAAAGCAAACGCCCTACCTGCTGTACTATTGCTCTAGACCCCCAATCTAATCACCTGAGTCCTTACATGAAAAAGAGGGAGGTGGCAAAGTAGGTTAGAAAAAACGGAGAAAGGGAGAGAGACAGAGAAAGTTGAGGTAAATTTGAATGCCGTGGCAGGATTTGAAGGTGGCAGAAAAGGGACACCAACCAAGGCGAGGAGTTGGAGTGATCTTCAGTATCAAGTCAGCAACAGGAACTCACATCCAGGACTACAAAAAACTACACACACACACCAATAACCAATACAAATGAGTTGGTAATAGATTCTCCCAGAGAACCTCCAGAAGGAGCGTACTTATGAAGACCTTGATTTTACCACACTTCCGACTTTCAGAAGTCTGAGACGACAAATTTGTCCTACGAAAAGTCACTAAGGTTCTGGTAATTCACTTACACAGCAGCAGGAAGAGTCAATCACTCTAAATGCTCGTACTCAGAGGATGCTTTTGCACACCTGATCAGGCGAACACCTGGCTAAAGAAGCTGGGAAAATCAGAGTTAAGATGGCACTTAGACAGCCTGTCCAGGCTGAAATTTACCATCCCTCAAGGATGCAGTTGTCTAAAACAGAATGCACAGTTATTCTTCTGCCACTAGTTTAAGAATTTAATACTTTAATAACTTCCTTCACTGCTTGACTAGTTTTCTGTGCTGCATATTTGATTTGCAAATACTACATGGAAAAATAATTTCTTTGTTTTATTTTGTTTTGGGGCCACGCCCAGCAGTGCCCAGGGCTTACTCCTAGCTCTGCACTCAGGGATCACTCCGGAGGGGCTCAGGGTACCATATGGGGTGCCAGGGATTGAACTCAGATTGGCTGCATGCCAGGCAAGTGCCCTACTCCCTATACAATCACTTTCGACCTTCTCCCCCAAATAGGTTCATAAAATCAGGATATTGTGAGTTGACTGGCATTACCTGAAGTTACGGATCAAACCGCGATCCTTCTTTATAATCGTTGGATTGACCTACGCCCCAGAGATCCAGAGGACAGCTGTTGCGACTAACCTGCTTCTCATCAGCGGGAGGCTCGTCCTCAGCTTTCAAGGAAATTGGTGAACTGGAGTTAGAGTTAGAGTTACTGCAGGTTGAGGCAAAGGAATCCGGGGAGGAGTTGTTGGTGGCTCTCCACAGGGTGGATGCAGATGTCGACATGGTCCCTCCACCCTTAAGGAGAGTCTCTGCCATCCCAACCAATTCTTCAAACTGGGTGACTGCCTGTGGTAACACTAAAATGGTAAGAAAGGGCAACATTTTACCAACAGTTTTAGCCACGGGGAAAACGGCTACACATTTTTGTGTGTCTATGCAGAGAAATATATAGAACAGTTAGTACTTGCTGCCTTTAGAAAATGAAGATGGTGAGAAAAGGAGTTGGCATACATTTTTCAGTAAATCATTGCTTAGTCATAGATGAAATAGGGTTATTATAATTAAAAAGATGTATAGGTACTACTTCATACCTAAATTGAATATTTTCAAAAGCTGAGGCTTTTTGCCTAATTGTTAATATTATTTGAAGGTGTTTCATCTCTTGTTTGGAGATACTGAGTCTATGATTGATCACCTTCCAGAAGCTCACAGTAGTCCAGTTTAAGTGACAAGAAAAAACAAGCCATTTCTTGACTCAGAAAGAAAGGGATAGACATAGAAAGACTGCATTCATCTGGGGAACATAAAGTAACAAAATAGGAGACTAACAGCCAAGAATGGCCGAGATTAGTACCAGGAATTTTACTCCATGGCTTGGAGGCTAACCACACATGCTAGGGGAAAAGGCAGCTCAGATAGGGAAGGGAGCACCAAATAAAGGGTGCTTGGAGGATCCTCCCAGGATGGGAGATGCATGTTGAAAGTAGACTATGGACCGAACATGATTGCCACTCGATGCCTCTTTTGCAGACCACAACACCCAAAAGGAGAGAGAGAACAGAGGGGAATGCCCTGCCACAGAGGCAGGGTGGGATGAGGGGATGGGGGGTGGGAGGGATACTGGGATCCGTGGTAGTGGGAAATGGGCACCGGTGGAGGGATGGGTATTTGATCATTGTATACTTGAAACCCAAGCATAAAAATGTGTAAGTCTGCAACTGTACCTCATGATGTCTCACTATTAAAAATTTTTTTTATTAAAAAAAAGCCATTTCTAACAAGTTGAAATGAATTTTCTATGACCTTTGTGAGTGGCTTTCCAGGAGCAAAATTCTATCAAATTAATAGAAATGCACTGCCACGTTCAAAATCTTTGCTTTCACAGGGTCAGAGATGAGTTTTGACAATTAACGGGATGTTCTCTTTGTTCCTTTTTAAGCAGAAACTTACACATTCAAAGGTTTCATGCTTCCTTGTAAAATGGTCTTCTCTGTTGTTTTATCTAGTTTGTTTCCTAAGGACAAATAACATTTTGTTGGAGTTGGAAGACACCTTGAACCCTGTCTAATTCAGTTCCTCAGTTATAGCTGAGGGAAGTGACTGCTGGCAGGTGAAGGGAAAGAGACTTCTTAGGGACTTCGGTAGATTATTGAACCATAATCTTTAGAACAGTTTTTGAGAACTGAAAATCAGTACGTTGATACCATATCCAAATATATAGATCTTTTACCCTTAGGTCACTGTCACCGTCCTCCCGTTGTTCATCAATTTGCTCGAGCGGGCCCAGTAACATCTCCATTGGAGACTTGTTGTTACTGTGTTTGGCATATCGAATACGTCCCGGGTAGCTTGCCAGGCTCTGCCGTGCGGGCGAGATACTCTGGGTAGCTTGCCAGGCTCTCCGAGAGGGGCGGAGGAATCGAACTCGGGTCGGCCATGTTGGCTGTGTGCAAGGCAGACGCCCTACTGCTGTGCTATCACTCCAGCCCTATAGATCTTTTACCCTATCAGTAGAAAATTAGGAAAACATACTACTCCTGACGGATGTTTTATTTTCCCAATATTTATTGAGCACCTCTCACATGCTGGACACTTATTCAGTCGGCAGTTATTTATTGAGCATTTAATAACATCAAGTATCTAGCTTTTCTTCTGTGATAAGGCACTAGTTCGAGAACTTCACTGAGGTTCATTCATTTACTCCTTATTCCAGCTCTCTGATGAGAACGCGATTCAGGTCTCCCAAAGAAGAATAGAAAGAGCTATGCTTGGAATATCACGTTTCACTCAAATGAGAGAACGGATCCGGAGTTCTGACATCTGTCGACGATCAAGGATCAGGGACGCTGTCTCATTTGCCACGGTGTCGAAAATCAGATGGGCTGGTCACATAATGAGATTTAAAGACGACCGCTGGACTAGAGCCGTTACCAACTGGATTCCACGGGATGTCAAAAGACCACGTGGCCGCCCACCTGCCAGATGGTCAGACTTCTTCGTCAAGATCATGAACGATCGGTTTGAGGCCCTCCATGTTCCCGGAGCAAAGAGATGCCATTGGGCTACACTAGCACGCGACAGGGACAAATGGAGACGTTACTGGCGCCCGCTCGAGCAAATCGACGACTAACGGGAAGTTAAGTGATTAAGTGATTAAGTGATTCTAGCTCTCTGAAATAGGTCTTATCATTACCCTCAGCATACAGATGAGGATGATTAGTGAGTGATTACATACTTCTCGTTATGATGAAGGCACACCATTTTATAGAACCATGAATAACAAGTATTAATGCTTTACTTCCTTATAACAATATTCACTTCTTAAAATAAAACTTACACTTTACCATTAATTTTACATTGGAGGCCACACCTGACTGTAGTTAGGGCTTAATCCAGGCTTTGTGCTCAAGCATCGCTCCTGGTGGTCTTCAGGGGACTATATCCAGCGCGGAGGACCAAACCCAGCTTAGTTGCACACAAGACAAGTTGCCAGGCCACTCTACTGTATTTTTCCTATCCCAATTACTTAATTTACTATCAATGATTTGTGATACTACAGAGTGTGTGGATTTTTTTTTCTTTTTTGGGGATCACACTCGGAGATGCACAGGGGTTCCTCCTGGCTCATGCACTCAGGAGTCACTCCTGGCGGTGCTCAGGGGACCCTATGGGATGCTGGGAATCGAACCCGGGTCGGCCGCGTGCAAGGCAAACGCCCTCCCCGCTGTGCTATCGCTCCAGGCCTTAGTGTATGGATTTTGTTATTATTTTTGTTTTGGTTTGGGGGGCCACGCCTGGCAGTGATCAGAATAACTGAAACAGGGCTTACTGCAGGCTCTGTGCTCAGAGATCACGCCTGACAGTGCCGGGGATCAAATCTGGGTCAGTCGTCTGGAAGGCGAGTGTCTTGCCCAGTGTTCTATCTCTCTGGCCCTCAGGCATACAACTTTATGGCTATGGATGCATACAAGATTCATTGCGTTGATCGCCAGAGTTCCAGGGCCACACCACCATCACTCCCCAAAGACCCCTCTGACTAATTTTCCCTTCTCCCATCTGCCTTCTCTCTCCCCTCTCTGGTAAATCTTATCACTTGTATCACATGTCATCCCGTTGATCTTCTAGTTGCTCGAGCGGGCGCCAGTAACGTCTCCATTTGTCCCTGTCACGTGCAACTGCAGCCCAATGGCATCTGCTCACTCCAGGAACATGAAGAGCCTCAAACCGTTTGTTCAGGGTTTTGACAAAGAAGTCTGGCCATCTCGTAGGTGGGCAGTCACGCGTCCTTTTGATGTCCTGTGGAATCCAGTTGGTAACAGCTCTAGTCCAGCAGTCATTTCTAAATCGCATTACGTGTCCAGCCCATCCGGTAAATTAACAAAGTTTGTTTTTTTTGGGGGGGGTGACACCCGGCAATGCACAGGGGTTCCTCCTGGCTCTGCACTCACGAATCACTCCTGACGGTGCTCAGGGGACCATATGGGATGCTGGGAATCGAACCTGGGTCGGCCATGTGCATGGCAAACGGCCTACCCGCTGTGCTATCTCTCCAGCCCCTTTCTTCTGTTTCTTTAAGCCACACTTGGCTGCTCTCAGGGCTCACTCCTGAATATGTGCTCAGTGATCACCCCTGGTGGTGCTTAGGGGTCTATACGCAGTTCTTAGGACAGAACTCAGGTGGGTTGCACACAAGGCAAGTCTCTTATCTGTTGTACTATCTCTCTGGACCGGATTTTAACTTTTTATTTATCATAAGCTGAAGTGAGAGTCCAGTAGGTAGGGTCTTTGCCTTGCATGTGGCTGACCCAGGTTTGGATCCTGGCATTCCATATGGTCCCCTGAACACTGTCAGGAGAGATCCCTGAACAAAGAGCCAGTATTTATCCTGAGCACTGCCATGTGTGTCCTCTCCCCCCAAAAAATGTCTTTCTTGGAAGTATCATGTTAAGCGAAATGACTCAGAAAGAAAGGGATAGACATAGAAAGATTGCATTCATCTGGGGATCATAAAGTAACAAAATAGGAGACTAACACCCAAGAGTGGCCACGATTAGTACCAGGAATTTTACTCCATGACTTGGAGGCCAACCACACATACTAGGGAAAAGGGAGCTCAGATAAAGAGGAGAACACCAAATAAAGGGTGTTCAGAGGATCCTCCCAGGATGGGAGAAGCATGCGGAAAGTAGACTATAGACCAAACAGGATTGCCACTCAAAGTCTCTTTTGCGAACCACAGCACCCAAAAGGAGAGAGAGAACAGAGGGGAATGCCCTGCCACAGAGGCAGGGTGCGATGGGGGGGATGGAGGGTGGGAGGGATACTGGGATCCGTGGTGGTGGGAAATGGGCACTGGTGGAGGGATGGGTGTTTGATCATTGTATAAGTGAAACCCAAGCACAAAAATGTGTAAGTCTGCAACTGTACCTCATGATGTCTCACTATTAAAAAATTAAAAAAAATAAATTAAAAAAAGTCTTTCTTGGTATATTTATCTTTTTTTTTTCCTTTTGGGTTACACCTGGCGATGCACAGGGGTTACTCTTGGCTCTGCACTCAGAAATTACTCCTGTCGGTGCTCAGGATACCATAAGGGATACTGTAAATCGAACCCTGGTCAGCCACATGCAAGGCAAATGCCCTACCCGCTGTGCTATCGCTCCAGCCCAATTACATGTAAGGTTTATAAAATATAAAAACAGTAAATCTCTATAAATCCATCACCTAATTTCAACTCTCAGTCTACTTTATTCCATTTATATCCTCAAATGTTTTCTTAGCAACTCAAAGATTACTTCAAACAAATTGCAGACATCACCTCATTTTATCTTTATATATTTCTGTATATGTCTAAAGA